TCCGTACCTCCAGCCCTTATTTAATCATTTTCCACACGTTGCCTCAATCCGTGCCAGTAAATACATTCAGTCTGGCCCAGTGATTAAGAGCACAGGTTTTGAAATCACACAATACAGGGCAGACTCTCGGATCTGATTGTGTCATTGACCCAGGCCTGCTGGGCAGGACGCCAATCATCGAAAAGACTGGGTTTGCAAAAGCCGGTGAGGATTTATTCGGGAGTTGGCCAGGCGTGGAGGGGAAAGAACACTACTCAAATATGCCTCCCTGAGGACAGGATGCAGGGTATTTACAGGATAAAGAGGCACAGCGGTTTGAGGTGTCTGTCAGTTAGAGGTGAGGCGCTGCAGTGGGCTTTGCATCACTAAGTAGTCTGCAGGGCTCCTCAGGGCACATCTGCAGAAAATGGAGGTCTAAGCACAATCAGAGGGCAGAGTTTTCAGCTCCCTGAATCAAAGAAATCACCAAGGGACACCTGCTCCCGGCCCAAAAAAGAACCTGTGGTTTCCACAAAAATAGCCTTCAAGTCCTTGAGGAGTAACCCAGACAACCATTGTAACCCCGACCCACACAACAGAGGCACCAGCCACAGCAAGGCTCCTAGGTTAGCCATGATGAGCGGCTCAGCCCTGGGACCTCTACAAACAGGGTTTCTGGAGACAGGGTCTTGCTATGTTGTCCAGGCTTCGGCCAGGATTACAGGTACATGCCACTTTGCTGGACTCTAAGGAGTGACATTAAAACTCCGCTAAACTGGGCATTGTGGCATAGACCTATAATCCCAGCACCGAGGACATGGAAGGAGGATCAGAAGTTTGTCATAGCTCACTGCACAGTAAGTTTAAGGCCAGCTTGGGCTACACAAGACTTGGTCATAAAATAAAATAAAACAAAATAAAAACAAGTGCGGTCTCAAGCGCATATTCAGGTTTGGCGTCCATTTAAGAGATGACTGAGTTACTCGAGCAAGAGCTGGAGAGATGGCTCAGAGGTTAAGAGCACTGACTGCTCTTCGAGAGGTCCTGAGTTCAATTCCCAGCAACCACATGGTGGCTCACAACCATCTGTAATGAGATCGGGTGCCTCTTCTTGCTTTCAGGGATACATACAGACACAATACTGTGTACATAATAAATAAATAAATAAAGAGTTATGCAGCTCAGATGTAAAGCACTTGCCCAGCATATGAGAAGCTCTGAGTTCCATTCATTGTCCATTGTCCAGTACTGGGCACAGAAAAAAAGTAGTCTTGAAACATTTATGTGTGCACGAACCTGTGTGTACATGCCAGGGAAGCCAGAGATTGACATCAGATGTCTTCCCCCATTAGTCTGTTTCTTTTTTTTGTTCTTCGAGACAGGGCTTCTCTGTATTGTTTTGGAGGCTCTCCTGGAACTAGCTCTGTAGACCAGGCTGGCCTCACAGAGATCCTCCTGCCTCTGCCTCCCAAGTGCTGGGATTAAAGGCGTGTGCCACCAACACCTAGCATTCTGTTTCATTTTTAAGCAGGGTTTATTAGGTAGCCCTAATTGGCCTGGAACTCACTATGGAGACCAGTCTGGCCTCAGACTCACAAAGGCTTGCCTTCCTGTGCATCCTAAGTGCTGGGATGAAAGTACTCCCTACTCCACCTTACATTTTGAGGGAGGCTATCTCACCACTGAGCTTGCGAGATCAGCGAGTCTGGCCAGCTAGCTTGCTCTGGCAACCGTCTGTCTTCACCCTTATATGCTGGGATTTCAGGTGGGCCACATGCCCACTCAGCACGTCAGTGGGTGCTGGGGATTCAAGCTCAGTCCTCGTGCTCCTGTGGTCACTTTATCCACTGAGCCGGCCCTGCAGCCCTCCATTCCATTTTAAAACAATTGATCTGCCTCTGTGTTGCAAAAGCAATCATGGGAAAAGCAGCTGGTGCCTTTCCACGAGTCAAAGCAGTGATGGGGAACCATGCAAGTCTCCATGGTGTTCTTTATCACTAGGTTTCTACAGGCAGCAGAGAAGCCAGGTTTTCTTAGGAGTGTGCTGGATGAAATGGTACAAACACTTTCATGAAGTCTCAGCCGGGGACGCGCGCACGCGCGCACACACACACACACACACACACACACACTCCTTAAGTACTCTGTGAGACACAGAGTCCATATAGGAAAGGCACTTCTTGGCACAAAGGAGTGCTGTGACCATGCCTGCAGGTCCCTCTCCAGCAGTCAATTAGCCAGGACTAGAAAAATATAGGGACAAAGCTTATGTCTGCCAGGAACACATGCTGTCTTCTCTTCCCTAAGCAATATGGATGACAACTATTGACATAGCATTGATCTTTTACCAAGCCTCACAGTTATTACAAAACTCAGCGTCTTTTATATCTATCCATCCAATATCTATCTATTTATCTATCTTTTTTTTTGGTTTGTTTTTTGAGACAGAGTTTCTCTGAATTGTTTTGGAGGCTGGCCTGGAACTCACTCTGTAGACCAGGCTGGCCTCAAACTCACAAATATTGGCCTGCCTGTGCCTCCCGAGTGCTGGGATTAAAGGTCTACAGAGCGAGTTCCAGGACAGCCTCCAAAACAATACAGAGAAACCCTGTCTCGAAAAACCAAAAAAAAAAAAAAAAAAAAAAAAAAAAGAGTGATCTGAAAATAATGAAAGGATACAGGGGTATATGTGTAAGTCATAGGTAAATATCTTGACATCTTATATAGGAGACTGAAGTGTCTTTGGATTTTGGTGTTCTCAGGGAGTCCTAGAACCATTACTACCCCACTGTGGAACAACTGTGTATCTTATTTAACACACTAAATAAAAAATACCATTCTCCGGCACTGGGAAGAAAGAAGCAGGCCATTCTCTATGAGTTCAAAGCCAGCCAGCCTGGTCTACACAGAAAAATGTTAGGACAGTCAGGGCTCTATAGAGAGACCCTGTCTCAAATAACCAAAAGTGAAAAAATTGAAAAATCACCATCCTGGCCACCTATCAAGTGCTCAGTGACCACGAGTGGCCAGTGTGTGTGTGTCCAAGTGTTTCTCTGTGAATGCATGTGAGCGGTACACGTGTCCAAGTCGAAGGGTAGGAGTAACGTTAGGTGTGTGTCCTTGCCTGGTACCTTGCTGTGCTCTGTTGTGTATCCCAGGTTTCTGTTCCCTAAGTTTCTGTCTCTGTCTCCCATCTCACCGTAGGATGGCTCTGAACGTCCGCTCCCATTGGTCCCCTCTCCTCAGTGCTGGCATCCCACACATGTCTGCAGCACCGCACCCAGCACCGCTTACTTCTTTTTGAAACAGTGTCTGGCTACGTAGCCTGAGCTGTCCTGAGGCTCACCATGGAACCTAGTCTGGGCTCAAGTGGACAGAAGTCCCCCTGTTTCAGCTTCTCCGGAGCTGGGATTACAGACATGTTTATTTTAAGGAGGAGATAACATAAAAGTGGTCATGACACAAAGCAGTAAAACCGGGAAGGCATGAGAAAGGCTGTAAAACTCCCCCAGAATCTCACTCCCCAGGCACTGGGCCTGGCACTCCAAGTTCCACTGAAATGGGCTAATCTTTCTGGGGCCCAGTTGAGCAGCCTTGGGGGAGCTGTGTACCCTCTTGGTCTCTCTTTTTTCTTATCTGTTAATCGGAGCAATAATAAGTGCTCTGGAGTTAGCAAACCCGGTCCACTAACATAGGGCATGGTAGCAGAGTGGGATTTAGCCTGTTCAGAAAAATGCCAAGATGCTGTCTGTGGTCCTACCTTTTTTTCTTTTCTTTTCTTTTTTTTTTTTAGTAACCAAATCCAGGGCCTCCTGCATAATAACCAAGAATTCTACAACTGAGCTATACCCCCAAGTATTCTTTTTCATTATTGTTTTTGTGTCTGGATTTTATTTTTAATTGCCAGGGCATCTCCCACCTCGCACCACACTAATAACCACTAGGGGAGCCATTCTCTCCCTCCTCTCTCGCGGACCTTTTGTTTTGCATTCACACAAATGCTCGGTAACACCCAAGAGGGGTGGTTTACGGCATCTTAAACAAAAGGGCGAATTGTCTATACTGTGTGTGTTATGGGGTGGGATCGACAATGCGCTACTTCTGCCTTCCCCGTGGATCCGTCAGACACCTAAGGCTGTCGGGCCGCAGGCGGTTCTGTCGCCCTGGGGTGCAGGACCCCGGCCGGATCCCTTTTCCGAGCCCTCCCTCCTGCTTGCCTTCCAGGCCTCAGGTCTGCGTCCCCGGCCTTCTAGAGCGCTGTGCCCTCCCCACCCCCCTCCCATGCTCACCCCAGAGCTCTCCCTGGGGTCTCCTCCCAGTTTGTCCCCAGTCCTCTCTCTCAGGAGCCCCTTCCCCACTCCATCGAGGTCCTCTCCACCTTGGGGGTGGTATCTCCCCAAACCCACTCTCCATTGAGGTTTCTCTCCAGCAGGATCCCCTCTCCATGAAGATCCCTCTCTGCTGGGACCCCGTCTCCATCCAGTTCCTTCTCCACTTGTCCTCCATTTGAGCCATCCTCTTCACTGCAGCCCTTTCCACCTAGGTCCCTTCTCCATTAAGGTGTCTCTCCACCTAGGTCCCTTTCCCTCAAGATCCTTCAGCTAGGCCTCTTCTCCACCTCGGCCCGCTCTCCTCCAAGGTCTCTCTCACTTAGGCACCTTCTCCACCTAAGCCCCTTCTCCATCAAGGTCCCTCTCCAGCCGAGCTTCCTCTCCATTGAGGTCCTCTCTTCCGCAGCAGCCGCTCTCTGCACCGCGCGGCCCAGCCTGCTCCCCGCACCCACCCTCCCTCCCGGGACAGGGGCGGCGCAGCAGGGGGGCGCTGCGCGGGCCACCGTGCGGGCGGCGGGCGAGCGGGCGGGCGGGCGGGGGCGGCGTGGAGGCGGGGGCGGCGGCGGCGGGGGGCGGGGAGCCGAGCGCGGGCGGGAGGCGGCGGCGAGCCACAGCGCCGAGGCTCCAGCGAGCGCCGAGGAGCGGGAGGAGGAGGCAGGAGCGCAGAGCGCCGAGCCCCGCGCCGCCGCCGCCGCCGCCGCCGCGCAATCCGCCGCCATCCGCCGCCCCCCGCGCCCGGCCGCCGCCCGACCGCCATCGCCCGGGCCCGTCGCTCGCGGACGCAGACCAGGTGGGCCGGGGCCGGGGCCGGGGCCGGGGCCGGGGCCGGGGCGGGGGCGGGGGCCGGGGCCGGGGCGGGGGCGGGGGCCGGGGCCGGGGCTGGGGCTGCGCTTTGTCTCCACTGCCGTGCTCTGCGGCGGGCGCGGGGCTGCGGCCTGGGCGGCCTGGTCGGCGCTCTCCAGCTCGCCATTGTTGTGTCTCGGCGGCCAGGGCGGGAGGCCGGCGGGCCGGGCGGGGCCGGGATCGGATCGCCGTCGGGATCGAGCCGGAAGGCTCTCCAGCGCCTGGGGACAGCGGCCTCGTAGGCCGGGGCGGGGGACGCGGGACCCCGAGGCCGCCCGGAACCGCAGACCGAGCGCCGCCCCGGCTCGGGTGGGTTCGGCTGCGGGAAGCGGGGTGGTGTTTTCACGGCACCCGAAGCCGCTGCTAAAGATGTGTAATAATAAACAGGATGTCGCTGCTCGGGGCCTGCCGGATTGATGGGTTTTTGTCTTTTTTTTCCTTCGCCTACCTTTTAAGAGAGAAATGCAGTCCTGTTGAGGTCGTGGGCCTCTCTGGAGAGGATCTACCTGCACAAAGTGGACTCTTTCTTCTTTGTAAATATCGTGGGGAGACGAAGCCCACTGTAGGGCAAGAATAGGTGTCGTTGCCCCCCCACCCCACCCCCGGCAATGGTGAGCTTGAAGGAAGTGGGAGAAGGGGGGGCGCCGATGCTCTCCGGAGTGTGTCATTTGCTAAATGGCTGCCTGAGAGAAACGTTTATAGAAGCCCGTCTTTTGCAGTGTAGTTAAATTTCATCCACAGTTTTCTTTCCTGAGAAGGTTAGCGTGTATTCTCGGTGTGTTGTCTGCCTAATACATCTCCTTTGGGCGTTCAGTGCGTCCATTTGAAGCCTTGGCGTCTTTTCTTGGCAGTACAACTGCAGGGGCTTGTATTGTATCGTAATGTCTGCACCGTCGTGGTGCAAGCTGGGACCTGCGGGGTGCAGGCTGTGGAGTGGGACACCTACTGCCACCGCCTCCAAACTGAGGGGACTCAGCGTTCATCGGCAGGGAGGCATGACTTGGCATGCAGTCGGTGCCCCATGGCTACTCAGCGTTGTCAACCTAGGATACGAGGTTTGCCACTTGTGGTGTCATCCATGCTGGGGCAAGCCACAGGTGCTGACTTGAAGCGGCGACATTGGAGCTGGGGTTCAAAACACTGGGTGATGTAGGACTGCTGGGAGTCCCAGGCCAGCCTGGGCTCCACCGTGAAAACCCAGCAAAATTCCCACATTGTCGGTACTTGGTCAGTGTGGGCCTCTGGGGAAGGAGCGTGGGAAGGCATGTGTAGTCAGTCCTCTGGAACATACTGGCTCTCTAGTGCAGGGGGCTTTCTAGTGGGTAGCTGGGTTTCAGCGGGGTGGACCTGTACTACGAGAGTAGTCTTCGGAAGGTAACTGCCCTCCTTGGGGATGGGCAAGTAATTGCTTGGGAGCCTTCAGCTTGTTCAGGCAAGTGTGCCTTTGGAGCCCTGTTACTCTTGAGTTAACTTTACCCAAGTCTCTTAGCCGTCTATAAAATGGGAATAATTAGGACTGCTCGTGTATCTCGTGGGAACCTCAGGTAAGATTCAACAGCAGAACGTTTCCATTCGTGGGGAGGTGGTAGACTTGTATGTTCCTTGGTTTTGCTGGTCCCTTTTAATCTCTGACTTTCTTCTTCCTGTTGTGGCTTAATAGAATTGTGACCCCGGCCCCGCCCCAAATGCTGTGACCAGCAAATGTTTTGATATTGTCTTTGTTACCATCGTGCCCAAAATCAGGGGCCTAGTTTAGAAGAGGCACGGAGCTCAGCCAGGTTTCTGAGGTGGATGGGAGATCACGGAAGGGCCAAGGATAATAAAGCAGGGGGGGGGGGTGGGGCTGGGTGGCCACGACCAATATTGGTCTTACTCTGAGTGATGACTGAGGCCTAGCTTGCCTCTTGGACTAACCCTGAGTAACTTGTTGGTCCCCACTTGGATAAACAGTGACTTGCATCCGGGAGGGAGTAGGGGGGTTGTCTTACGATGTTTGGCTTCATCATCTTGCTGAGTTTTAAGGGACTTCCATGCCCCTTCCACACCCTTTATTCCTCTGCCGTTTGGTTGTCTGGCCTCCCTCACTGGTCTGGTCCTAGCTTGCTGGTGGCTGGTAGGTTGGGGAAGACGGAAGTCTACGGTGCCTGCCCCCAAGATTTTAATTCCTGGGGAGCTCTAGCATTGTGCTGCCTGTGTGGCACCCTGGTGGGGCCTGCCCTAAGGCTTCTTCACCCTCCACTGACCTGGAATGGGTGAGGGGAAATCCCAGGGCACTTAGAGGCAAAAGCCTGGGAGAGTGGAGTTTCTGGAATGGCTGGTCAGAACTGGCTCCTGAAGCTTGGGCTTTGCTGAGGGATTTTTTTTGCTGGGCCTCTTAACCTCCCTCCATCAAGTTTAAAACACACACACACACACACACACACACACACACACACACACACACACACACACACACACACACACACACAGCATTTTTTCTCTGGAAGATTATTGCACTTTCAAGCTTTTTTTTGTTTTTTTGTTTTTCGAGACAGAGTTTCTCTGTGGCTTTGGAGGCTGTCCTGGAACTCACTTTGTAGACCAGGCTGGCCTCGAACTCACAGAGATCCGTCTGCCTCTGCCTCCGGAGTGCTGGGATTAAATCAAGCTTTTTTTAAAACCCCCTTTGCTTACACAAAGTACCAACTCCAGTTGCTAATGGCTGAGGGTTGGTTACATCTCCCATTGTTCTACCATTTAAGATTGTTTCGGTGTTTCTATTTCAAACCAAATAGCCTGGGAAGACCTTCGCATGTATTTCTAAATTCCATGAGGAGGCTTCTCTGCCGTCAACCGTTCAGTTGTGTTACAGGCCAGCAGGTATTAATAGGGCCTGTCCATAGCAGATGTTTTTTTTTTTTTTTTTGGTTTTTGGAGACAGGGTTTCTCTGTGGCTTTGGAGGCTGTCCTGGAACTAGTTCTTGTCAACCAGGCTGGCCCACAGCAGATCTTAAAACATTTTTCTCCTAAAAAAAAGAAAGAAGATGGCCAGCAGACATCTGTTGGGTTTTGTACTGTGGGCTTGTTATTTTTGGTTTTGTAATGAATATTGTGTGCAAAGCCAGGGCTTAGTGAGTCTAAAGGCCTTTTGTTTTTGTTTTTTAGTCATAGTTGATTATATTTATTATATGTCTCTCTTTTCGTGTCCCTTTTAATCCCTGACTTTCTTCTCCTGTAGTGGTCCTGGGACAGCCTGTGGGAGTCGGTTCTCTCTTTCAATCATGTGGGTCCTTGGGCTCAAACTCTGGTTGTTGGGGTTGGTGTCAGTCACCCTTACTACCCAGCCATATCTTGGCCCTCAGTGTGTGTTAGTGTTACTATTATTTAGGTTTGCATAGACTGGAGAGCATTTGGATGGGGTCACACAGGGGCCCGTGGTGCTGGAAGCTGAGGTGGTTAGCTTTCTGGGGCAGGGACATTGTTTACAATGAGCCTTTAGGATCCACAGGGGCGCTTTGGCCTCGTCTCCTGGGAGCTGGCAGACCTGGGCATCACCACAGGTGATGCTGCTGTTTACACCAGCAGACACGTGGGAGATCTGTGTGCCAGGAGGGTGTTTGCCTTGGTGACTTGAGTCAGGAGCCTTGCTTGGGCTTTGTTCTTTTTTTTTTTTTTTTTTTTTTTAATCCTGTGATTTCCCAAACCTCAGCAGTGCTGTAGGATGCTTTTCCTGCAGGAGGAGGCTGGCTGTGCAGGGTAAAAGTCCACGTGAGTGGCTATTGTCTGAAATGTTTGCTTCTGTGCCTCTCCGAAGCCAACTGAGGTCCTTTATCCCTCCTTCCCAGACCACTGGCTTCGCTGGGAGAAGCTGAGTTGATTCATTTTCAATTTTCCAGTCATGGACCAGATACTCCGTGGTCACTTATTTCCCTGCCAGTGTGTAAGGCCCTTTAAAATAATGTTTCCAAGCCCCTATGATTAAAGTGAAATCCCTGAAGAAAACAAATTAGGGAATCCTGAAAAGGATTAATAAGAAAATACAAATAGAGACCACCTACTCTCACCCCCTAGACTAGACAGAAGGAAGATGGATGTGTTGGCATCTTTCCACGCTGCACGGTTGACAGCGTGGTTCTTCCAGTGAAGGTTGTATTTCATGCATCTGCAGTGATTTATTAAATCTGACAGTTTGTTAGGCAATTTGGTTGTTGTTACTCACCCTCCCTCCCAGCAAACAAGACATTCCTGCCTTGTTCTTATCTCTGGTTAGCTCCCTAGTGGGATTTCTGAGGTCGAAGGGTATGAGGCCCATCCCGGTTTCTTCGGGAGTTTTCAGTATATCCAACCTGACTCTTCTATCTTGAACCACCAGGTTCTGGGTGGCTCTCTCCGGATCACAGTCTTTTGATTTTTTTAAGATTTGTGTTGATTATTTTTAATTGTGTTTATCTATGTGGGTATATGTGCATGGGACTGTAGTGCTTGAAGAGTTCAGAAAAGAATGATGGATGCCCTGGACCTGAAATTACAGGTGATTGTTTGCGGCCTGATGTGGGTACTAGGAGCCAAACTCAATCCTTTGGAAGAAAATAACTGATCTTAATGCTTCCCTGTCCCTCCAGTCCCTGGTTCAAGGTTGTCATCACAGCTGGATCAAGTGTAGACAAGGCTGTCTCAAACCCGAATTGTTCTGTAGGTATGGCAGGAAGGCCCTCCGAAGAGAGGTTTTGTGGGAAGCCTCTCATTATTTTCTTTTGGGGGGGTATGTTCAGATTAAAGGTATGAGCTACCACCCCAGGGGGTGGGATGGATGGGTAGTGGTTTCTCTTTTAGTTTCTCTTTGAAGCACTCTGATGAGGCCTGGAATACATTTTGTAGGCCAGGCTGGCTCCAAACTCACAGAGATCCAAGCCCAGCATGGTGGAACATGCCTTTATTCCCATCCTGGTCTACAAAGTGAGTTCCAGC